GGAGCGGGTATGGGCCGTGACAGCGTGGTGCCAAACCTGCTCTCCCGTCTCCTCCGCAGGTCTTCTCTCTTCTCGGCGCCCCGTGGCTCTCCCTCCTGGGGTGGCTGAGGACATGGTGGTCCTGCGGGCTGGGCTCTGCCCTGGTCTCACCGAGGAGATGATCCAGCTTCTGAGGGCAAACAGCATCCAGACGGGTAACAGGGTGGCAGTGGGGTCTCGGGGTGGGGAGTGTCACCCACAGCATGTTTGGGTGGCACAGAGCTCTCCCCCGGTGCAGGAGCCGTTTCCCCGTCTGGGCTGTGGGGTACCCCTGGACAACATCTGCTGCCTCTGTGGCTTTGGTCTGCAGCCCAGAAGCTGCAGTGGGGAGTTTTCTTAGAGCTCAATAGAGAAAAGGAGGGTGGGTGCAGGTTGTCTGCCACAGGCACCCTGGGCATTGACTGCCGGGGGCAGGGCTTCTCCATAGGAGCAGGAGAGTGTTAGGATGTGGTAGGGGTCTCTGTAGAGGCTCTGAGAAAAGATCAGTTTGGGCTTTTGGAAGGTATTTTGGGAGGGTTTGTGTATTTTTCCCTCTGAAAAATGCCCAGGCTCCTGGCAGGCTGCACCCTGGGCACCTCCTGCCCTTAGGGGGAAGGATAAGATTTCAGGTGGGTTCTTTGCTTGCTCTGATAAACTGGATTAGAGCTGGGAAAAACACCATTTTATTCTTGTTATTTGGAGCCTGTGAGATCCTGCGGGTGCTGGAGCCCTGGATGCTGTAATCCTTGTCTTCCCTCTAAGAATTGCTTTTGACTTGTTTCAAACCAATAACAAACACATTTATCTGGGAAAAAAAAAAAGGGATCTTGGAGTGGTTCCTGAGAGCAGAGATGGGGCCACTAGTTCTTCCAATCCCTGTGGCTTTAGCCCTACTTGGTTTGTCTAAGCTGGTTGTCTCCTAGTGTTCATGATCTGTCCAGGTCTGGCTTCCAGCTTCTCATTCCTCATGTTATTTGCAGTGGTGGACTTTGTGTCATCAGACCTGGAGGATGTTGCCCAGAAATGTTCCCTGTCTTACAAGGTAAAGGGTGACTCCCAGGTCCTGGGTATGTTCACTGGGGAGCTCAGAGCTGTTCAGCTTATGGCTTGGATGGGTTTTCCTGGGGGCACCTTCTGCAGCAGGTACTGTTGGTCCTGGACTTCCTCAGCCCTGTTTGCAGACATCTCTCTGTCCACCAGGCGCTGGTCGCAGTGAGACGTGTGCTCCTGGCCCAGTTCTCTGCCTTCCCCGCCAACGGAGCAGACCTCTATGAGGAGCTCAAGAGCTCCACGGCTATCCTGCCCACCGGGAGCCCGAGGTGGGTATGTTGCTTGGTGAGCCAGCAGGTCTGCCCGGGGCTGGGCTTGCTGCAGAAGGCCATGCTTCCCCAACACAGGCTTTGAATCTCAGTGTGGGGATGTCCTGGGAAGGTGGGAGGGAAGGAACTTGTCTACATTTGGGAAGGGGACTCCAGGACAAACACCTGGGGACTGATGCTCCTGCTGTTCTGGCTGAAGGGGTGTTGATAATCCCACCTTGTGTTCTACCCATAGCCTGGACCAGCTGCTGGACTCCGGGCTCTACACGGGAGAAGTGACGGAGCTCATGGGAGCCCCGGGCAGCGGGAAGACGCAGGTGAGTGGGATGGAGGACAGGGGAGAGGACAGGTAGGATGATGATGATGATGCCTTCAGGCATGTGAAGCAGAGGGGCCTGGGAGGGCTGGCTGACCTCCCTGCCTTTCCAGGTGTGCCTGGGCATTGCGGCCAGTGTGTCTCTTGGCCTCAAGCAGCACGTCCTGTTTCTTGACTCCACGGGGGGGTTCACTGCCTCCCGACTCTACCAGATGCTTCGAGCCCAGTCAGAGGAAGAGGAAGAGCAGGCAAGTTCCCCATGAGTTGGTCCTTCCACTCACACTTGGCTCTTGCCTGCAGACAACCCCCAGGGGGATGGTTTGTCTGTCCAGCTCTGCCTTTGTCATCCCCATGGGCTTTTTTGGGTCCACTATCTTCTTCCCATGGTTTGGTGGGTGCTGTGCTCAGGGACGGACACTGCACTTCGGGTGTTTTTCTTGGGGAGAAGGAGAGGACTTGCTGTAGTTGCTCACACTTTTGCTCTCTGAGCATAATCCGTGTTGCTTCTTCCACCAGTGCAACAGGGACCAGAGTATTCATGGGGTGGAGGCATATGTGGAAGAAATAAGGGACCCTGGCTCCATGGTATAAATGCAAAGAGCTGGTAGCAGCTGGGGCAGGAGGAATATAACAGATCCTGGTGGGGTGAGGCTGTTGGTGATGCCACTTTGTGCTGCAGCTGGAGGCTCTGCAGCGGATCCAGGTGGTCCGTGTGTTTGACATCTATGAGATGCTGAGCGCGCTGCAGGAGCTGCGGGAGCGCCTCTCCCAGCAGGTAGGAGCAAGGGGCAGGGCCCCTCTCCCTTCCCCAGAGCTGCACTGGGGGCAGCAGGGCTTGTGTGTCTGATGAGTGACACCACATCCCCCTGTCCTGGGGACAGCTCAGCCTGTGGGCAGCTCCTGAGCTCCAAACCTGCTGGATGTGTTGCTCCACATTGCACCTGGTGCCTCCTTCTTCCAGGTCCTGAGCTTCACGGGACCTCTCAAGATCGTGGTGGTCGACTCGGTCTCGGCTCTGATTTACCCGCTGCTGGGTGGGAAGCAGTCAGAGGGTGAGCTGCTCCGTTGGGCTGTGCAATAAGGTTGCAGACCTCTCTGCTCATCCTGAAGAGCATCTGCCACGTGTGCTGGAGCAGGATGGATGTGGGTGCCACAGCTCCCAGCTTTTCCTTTGCTACTGCATCTAAAGGGGAGTCTGTCTGCAGTGGTATCAGCAAACATTCAAGCTGGCTGTGGCCATGCAAGCTCATGTGGGTGGTCTGAAACCTGGCCAGGGGACAGAGGAGTCACTGAGCTGTTTGCCCACGGATTAAAGCCTCTGCTTACAGTATCACAAGTACATTGTGGTTGCTGGCACAGTTTGCAAAGCTCTCCTGGGGCTCTTTCTGCCAGAAAGGACCATAAATCAGGAGTGAGGGGCTTCCTGCTGGCTGAGACGCCAAGGAGGCCCTTCAGGCACCATCCAGAGGGTCTTGCAGAGCTGGGTGGCAGCCAGTGCGATCACAGGAGCCATGGGCTATAGGAAATAAAGCTGTGCGCTGGAGAGACGGGCTCTGTACCTGTTCAATCAACCTGGCCAGCTTTGGAGCTCCTGATGCTTTTGTAGGGTTTTTTGACCTCTGGGCTTCTAGGATCGAAAAGGAGGTGGTGGGACCACTTTGGGATTGGTCTGTCCATGCCACATCCGTTTGGCCAAAGTGCCCTGGTATTTGCAGGTGTAGTGGGTGCTGGTGATGGAAATGGTTAAAGGTGCCTATGAACACCAGCACTGGCACTAAATCTAGTGCTCATACAAATGTAGATGTCACCTGCTTCCAAGCAGCACTTTAGGGGGGGGTTGATCATGAAACACCCAAATGCTTTGTCCTCCTCCAGGTTTGGCCATCATGATGCAGCTAGCCAGGGAGCTGAAGACACTGGCCAGGGAGTTCAGCCTTGCTGTTGTGGTGAGTGTTGCTGTGCTTTGTCCTTCACATGCTGGCATGAAGCCCTGGGAAGGGGGGACCCCAGTCCCAGCTAAGCAGGAGTAAGAGGCCTGTATCCACAGTGCCCTGCTGCTCTGCAGCTTGCAGATGTCTTGTTCCAGGAAGTGTGGAGCAAGAACAGGGCTGATTTACTGCCCTTTCTTATTGCTGTCCTCAGCCACCGAGGCATTAACTTGATTGAGCAAGGTGAAGTTAAGTACAGATGGATTGAAAGGTTGTTTGTGTTTATTTTTGATATAACACTAATTCATTTAAGGGGCTGGCCAGCTCACTAAGTAACCTCTTGCTCAGTTACTTTAGGGAAACTGCAGGGCATTGCATCATCCAGAGGGAGCTGGGGACTGGAAGGGGCCCTGCTCTTCCCCAGCTCTTGGCCCAGCAATTGCATTTGCTTTAATGCACCCAGACAGGCTGTTGGGACCACAGTTAATGTGTTTGGACTGGGAAGGCCACAACAGAAAATGATGTTCTGCTGAACTTGGCACTGGAAAGTGTTCAGACAGTCCTGCCCTTTGATTAGCAATGAAGTGACAAGGATGGGGTGTCTGGAATGATGCTTGGAAGCTCCAAGTTGAAACTTTGCAGGTGCCTTCAGCACCTGGAGTCCCTGCAGCTTGCAGATATGAGCGAGTTCCTACCTGAATATGTCTGGGACAGTTGCATGGGCTGTGTTCAAAGGGGATGGCGTGAGTGTGCCAAGAAGGAGGGCACAGGATGGAGAAGAAAAAACACTATAGAAGTAGCAGACAGGCCGTTATCTCCTGGCAGTCTCTGGTGTTTCATTGCACCATGTGGCACTGCTTTTCCTGGGCACTGATAAGCCTGTTTGTGCTGCAGGTGACCAACCAGGTGACAAGGGACAGCAGCAGTGGTCCACCAAAGCCAGCCCTTGGCCGCTCCTGGAGTTTCGTGCCCAGCACCCGGGTGCTGCTGGAGAACAAAGAAGTCACCTTGGAGAAAGCCACCACGCAGCGCATTGCTTCCTTGGCTAAGTCACCCCGGCAGGTGAGGCTCCCCGGGCTGGTCCCTAAGGTATGGAGGTGATGCTGTGTGACTTGGACCTGGCTTTGGAGCAGGGTGAGGCTCCTGCTGCAGGTCAGGCAGCACCAGGTCTCATGGGTGACCCATGGCAATGGGAGAGGAGCAAATGCAGCCTGGTTGTGCGCTGTGGAAGAGAAGAGCATCTGTTCTCAACAGCCTTGTATTTATAGGCAGTGGCACCACTTCCAGTGTAGGTCACAGTGTTCTTTGGGCTTGTCTTGCTCTCCTGACTGTGAGAGTCCTGCAGAAACAGCTCCAGCACCTGCAGAGGTGACTTTAGCTTGAATCCTGCCTAGGACAAGGCAGCACCACCTGAGCTTCCTGGCTCTGAGCCTGCTCTGCTGCCTGATGCAAATGGGTTTGGATGTGGTAGTGTGCTGGGCAAAGAAATGCATCCTGGATGTGCTGGATAAGTGTGTCTGGGGGTATCTCAGGCCAAATAGTTCTTTCTTTACTAAATTACATTCTCTATTTTGTATCTCTGTGTTCAGCAGATCCAGTTAAAATGAAGGGCACCAGCAGAGAGAAATGCTCGAGGGGGTTTATTTGGGGATCTCTGGCTCTGGGGCTGGAGTGATGGGTAGAGTCCCAGCACTGTGAGGTTAAGCCCTTCTCTGTCTCTCTTTGCAGCCAGTTGGGAGACAGGTGGAGCTGGATATTGGAAATGGTGATGTGACACCTACAGAAAGGCTCTGATATGGGTGGAAAAACAAATAACAAGTTCCATAAGAGCTGTAAAAAAGCAGACAAGCACACTGAAGGCTTTACAGACTGACTCAGTCCTGCAGCCCTGGGAAGGACCAATGTGAAGAAGCTCTTGTCTTCTGCACCAGGGAGAAGTGTGGGGATCCCTGGAGATGCTGCCTGCAGTGGCTGGGCTGTGTGGGCAGCACAACAACCAGGTTGTCTCTTGCTGCAAGGCTTGTCTTCAAGCAGCAGAGCCAGCCCTGTCTTGCTGGGACCAGCTGGCGTGTTCCTACACAAACCCATGGCTCCTCGTGGTGGTTTTGTTTCCCCCCTGTAACTCCCTGCCCTCTGGTCCCAGAGCTCTGACCATCCTTGGGACCAGCCCACAGTGGTCTTGGCTCAGAAATGAAAGGTGTTGCAGACTGCTGTGGTTGTTGAGAGCTGGAATTCAATTAATGGCAACTGCTCTTAACTTCATTACAATTAGGGTTAGTCCCTAGCAGGACTGAGGTGGGGCAGGCTGCTGATGAGCAGGGACATAACCAGATGCTTCATCTGACCTCCTGCCCAGAGAAACACCAGGCCCTGTAAGGAGCTGCTGGTGTTTTGGGGACACTGCTGTGCTGCAGAAAGAATTGCTGTTAACTGCTGCAGGTTATGGTCTGCATCAGCTGGGGTGGATGAGTGCTGGTGCACCAGCTGGCCCTGTCTCATGCTCAAGCACCTACTCAATTGCATGTGGTGAAGTTTAATCTCTTTGCTCCAGTGCTTTCCAGCTGCTCTCGCCTGCTCTGGGCAGCCTCCTGGGTGCTTGTGCAGTGCTGGGGAGGAGATAGGAGGCTGGGATGGAATGTGGCTTCTCCTCTTGATCACAGACTTCTCAGACACCCTTATCTTCTGCTTAATAAGAAGCCTCTGTGGCAGGTGAGCTGAGCTCTGGCTTGCACTTCCAAAGCTGCTGATGCAGACTGGGGGGGCTGGGATGCATCAGGGCATGGTCATTAAGCTACTGACACAGCAGTACAGCTCCTGGAGCTTCCTAAGGCTCTGCTGGGCAAAGAAGAGGCTGATTTAGCCAGAACTTGGGTGCTAATTTCTCCGGAGTTAGATATAATGCTGTACAGCCCTGTATTCCTGAATAGCTGCAGTAGGGAAGAGGCATTTTTATGCCGTAGGAATTCTGCTGCCTGAGGAGGGGAATGTGCCAAAGCAATGTGAGCTGTGCCATTAAGCGGGTTTCAGTAAAAATAAATAAATGTCTTTTGAAGTTCCATATTGATTTTGCATTTCTGGGCTTTGTGAGCTTGGGAGGGGAGGGCTGGCTGCAGAGATTGCAGCCTGGCTGGGGTGAGGATGAGGAGGATGGCTTTCCCATCTGCTGTGCTGCTATGGCTGGTCCTCACAAGCAGAGAATGTAGTTTATGTCTCTTGAAGCTGTGTATGAAGAGCTGGTATGCACCAATCTCAACCAAAACGCTGTGCTGCTGCTTTCCCTCTCTGCCTGAGGTTCCATAGGGGAAGCAAAGCTCTTGTGTGGAGCAGGGGAAGAGCCACATTGAAACCTCTGGTTATATTTAAACCAAGGGGCAATTCTTGCTGTTTCCTTCCCCTAGCTGGCAGGAGGATGAGAAGGGGAACAGCCTGCTCTGAGCCCTGCGGCAGCTTCATGCCCTGCATGCATCTTTGCCATGGCCCTTCAGGAAATGACAGGAGTCACTTGCTCATGCACTTAGTCACCGGGGAGCAGTCATGGGGCTGTGGTTCAACAGGGATGGTGCTGGTCACCGGGGAAAGGCAATGACATGTGGGCTGTGCAGGGAAGGTGCTGCTGTGGGTGCTGGTTATGGCTCAGTGTGGGGACAGCAGATGGGTTCAGGCTGTGGGACTTCTATTACCTGATCTGGAAGAACTTGACTGATTATTCCAGCTGCTTTGCCCTAAATTTACATAGTAAAATGAGCCTGGAAAGAGATTCAGACCTAAATATCCCAATCCAGCCTTTCTCTGTGCTCAGACAGGCACTTCAGCAACCCTGTAAGCTGGGGCCTGGCTGTGCCAGAGTGTGTGGGGACATCCCCTCTCCCCATTCCTTCCCATTGCCTAAATCAGCTGGAAAGGGGTGATAAAACCCACCCTGGGGCTGACAGGGCACCCCTTGTCCCAAGCACTGGGGCTGCCTTTTGACAGTGAGGACTCATTTGTGTGCATATGTGTACTTACGTCCAAAACGCAAGTGTGTGTTTGTATGTACCGTGTGATTACGTGCGTGCAGGTAGGGCAGTCTGTGTGTGTACGCCTGTGTGTATATCTCTATATACGGGTGTACCCGTGTGTGTTTCCCGTTTAACGTCGCGAAGCCCCCGTGCCTACACCAGAAACTCTACGAAGAACAGAGGACC